ATCATTTATATTAATTTCTTAATGATAGAAAACTTTCTAAAAATTTAAAAAAAAATTATAGCAATTCAAGGAATCAAAATATCATTTACATAGTTTAAAAGGATTTTATTATCATTTTTTTAAAATAAAATAAGTAAATTTTACTAATGTTGGTTGTTTTCTTGAAGGCCAAAGTCATAAAAAAATATCTTATAATTTTGAATCAAGAGAATAGTGCACTTTAAGCCATCTAGCCCTATATGTAAAGTCATTTACAAATTGTTAATTGACTTATATTCAAGACCATACGATTTTTTGAAAGATGACTAATACTCCTTTTAGTAAATAGGGCAAATAGGGAGGAATTTTTTTTTTCATCTTGTTTATAAATTACATCATTAAATTTTTATTATAAACTTTTCTTTTTGTCCTTCACTAAATATTGAAGAAAGAAAATATAATATTAAAATATATATCTTTAATAAAAATAAAGTTAAAAATTTATTAAATTTTTAAACAAAGATTCATGAGGTTTAAAGTGTTTCTTGACACTTGTAAAATATATCAAAAAAGACTTATAAATAAGATCATAGAAGTACATATAAGACCATAAGAGTATTAAATATAATATTCGACTAACTAGTAATGTGTAAAAACATTTATTACAAAGTTCCTGCCATGCCATTCATTACAGTTAAATTAAATTGGATTCACGAATGTCATTAAAATATTTGGTAAAAGCTCAAAAATTAATTGGAAGCATTTTTGAAAAAAAATTACATTGTGTCATAGTCCTTTAGTTCTATTTACAGAGGAAAGAAAGGAGATTTTTTTCCCTATTTATAAATCACTTCATTAAATTTTTAATATAAATTTAGCCTCATATATTTCATTAAATGTTGGAGAGAGAAAATATATTATTAAAGTATATATATTTAAAATGAGAAAATTTAAGAACTTGATAAATTTTAAAATAAAGTTAATAAATTTTAAGGTTTCCTTAGTTTTGGTTAAATATATTAGAATTGATTTATAAATAAAATTAGAAGAGTACTTACGAAAAATAAAATAAAAATAACAATAAAATCCTTTTGAATTATATAAATGACATTTTAGTTTTTCGAAATGCTATAATTACTTTAAAATCCTTATTGCTATTAAATTCTTGTAATTTAAGAAAAAAAGTTGTAAATTTTAAAATAAAACTTATAAATAGTAATTGATATTTGCAACACTTAAATAATGTCAAGATTTTAAATGCAAACTTATAAATTGTTGTTGAATTCTTACAATTTTAAGAAGAAATATTGTAAATCTTAAAATAAAACTTATAAATAATAATTGATATTTGTAACACTTGAAGAATATTATGATTTCAAATGCAAACTTACAAATTGCTGTAAAATTTTTATAATTTTACAAAGAAAAATTGTGAATCTTAAAATAAAACTTGTAAATGACAATTGATATTTAAATTAAGAGCAATTTAATTATTTATGTTAATTCTTTAATGACATAAAAGTCTTAGAAACTTCAAAAAAATTATAACATTTTAAGAAATTAAAATGTTGTTTATATAATTTAAAAGATTTTATTTTTATTTTTTCAAAAATAAATCCTTGAATATATTTGTTTTATGAGATATTTATTTGCACACAGATTAAAAAATATAATTAATACATAAAAATATTAGTCACATTATTAAACTTACCCTTAAAACTTAATAAAAATTACTTTGGAGTTGTCAAAGCAAATGCTTTGAACTTCTAAAAAGTAAAAAAAAAAAAAACACACACACCCACACACACACAAAATGAACCAAACAAAATTCCTTAAAAAACATATATTCTCAAACAGCAAGAGTAATTTTTTAGCCTTTAGAAGTAAGTAGAGTTGAAAAATAGATGTACCTAACTTATATGAGCTTGATCTTTAAGAGCTCACTTTAAGCCCAATTTCTTTAAAATATTTTATTTTTAAAACTCGACCTTTATATAAAGGGCTGAGGGTCAGGTTCATAAGCCCTTATTATTATTTTTTTTATTTTTTAAAATTTTTAAAAATTAAATTTTTTAATTATAATATTTCATATGTTTTTTAAAATATAAAATTATAATGTTTAAAAATTAAAAATAAATAATAAAAAATTTAATTTTAAAGTATAAATATATATTTTAAAGTTTAAATTCCATTTAAAAATTAAAAATATTTTATTTTTTAAGAAAAAAAATAAAAACAAGTTTAAAAGGATTACCTGAGCTTGAGCCCTTTTTTAGGATTTATCAAAGTCAGGCTTGAAAATCTAATTTTTTAAAAAATTTCAATTTTTTTAAGCCCAAATACTTATAAAAATAGATTTAAACGGATAGCCCTCCTAGTCCGGCCCTTATTCTCGTTTTTATATTTTTATAAAAAGGTATTTGCTTGATGGGAGAAAGTATTTCTTAAAGACAAATTGTAGGTTAAAAAACAAATACAAATAATTTGATTTTACCCAGAAAAAAAAATTAAACAAATCCAAACCAAATAACACTAATGACCATTAGCACCGTAGCAAGATTCAAATTAGTTGAACTGCTTCTGAAAATTATCTTTCAAAATATATATTTTTTTTTAATTTTCTCTTAAGATCTGAGGATCAAGTAAAAAGTTGTGTTACCTGTATCACATTGAATGATCTGCACCAAACTTTACGATGAATCGCAGACGCGGAAAATGCCATAGCTCCTGAGCCAGAGCTTTTTTTTTTTGGTATGATTGATCACAATCTAGAGCAGCAGATTTTACCTGAAATCTTCCAACAAAGACGCCAGTTCTTGTTAAAGAGAGCCCACAACATGTGAACTTAAAACTGACATGCAGGGCAAAACTTTTCAAAGAACAGATTTCTGACCCCAAAAAAATGCAGAATATGATAGACAGAGATCTTTAAACGAAGGCGTAAACTTTTTTTTCTATTATTTTTTTAATTTTATTTATAAGTCACTTTAAACATATTTTATGAAAACAAGAATAAAAAAAATTTTAAAATTTATTAACTTTATTTAAAAATTTAAAAAATTTTCATTTGCTCTCATTAAATATACATGTTTTAATAACATGTTTTCCTTCATTAATATTTAATAGATGGTAAATAGAAAAATTTGTAATAAAAGTTTAATAATGTGATTTATAAATTAAAAATTTTTTTTTCTCAACTTTATAAAGAAGACAAGAGGGAATATTTCACACACACACTTCACGAGCTTTTCTGCATACACCACACGAGATGTCATCAGCTACTATTTACATCCTCCATAGCAGATCGGCTATTATTTATAAATGAGTTTTTGAAATTATGACATATTGAAGACTTTTTTTTTTCCTTTTCTTACTGCGTTGCCATTCAAACTGTTGACTTGACTCATATTCTATACCTCAATTTTTGTATATAATATATATGTTTTCCCTATCATGTGTATGAAAGTTTTGATATATTGGAAACAAAAACATCGGCTTTTTAAGAAAATAAGTTGGATTCTGATTGATTTCATTTCTTCTACGTCTCTAATTGATCAACATATATTCCTAATAATGTTGTTAGAATCGGAACGGTTGAATAAAAACCAACCTATGATCGATCAGGTCTTGATTTATATCGGTACCAAGAAAAAATTAAACCACTGAAAAATCAATAAAATGGGCATTGAAGAAGAAGGCGACAGGGGTAATTGATGAAGAGGAAGAAGAAAGCGACCCTGGTCTTTTAGACAGTTCTAAACAATAATAATGGCAAAGAATGCTGTGGATAGTCACAAAAGATTTTATTGAAAGATGAACTTTGGGTGTCTTGTAGATTTTCATGATAACAAAAAAAGTTAAAAATCCATGCACATATAAATTAAGGTTTGTTTTTAATAAGCATTTTTAAGTAAGTGTTTGATGCACCTATTTTCTTCAAAAAAATATGAAAACTATTAGGACGTTCAAGGGTGAGTAGACTTAAATCCATATTAACAGTCTCACATTAATAAAATTAAACTTAATAACTAATATAAATTAAAGTGAAAGAATCCATAAATATAAGTTTTGAAATTTTGAGTTCAGGGCTTCCCTCTGATTGTTAATAATAACTAATATCAAATACAAATGATTCAAATAAAATAAAATGTTTTTTTCATTTTGTATTAAATAAGCAATTTTTTGAATTTGTTAATATATTTTGCTAAGCTTTTTATTATATATATATATATATATTAATAAAAAATAATATCTCTGTTGATTTAAAGTTTTCTAATTACAAGAAGGAAAAGAAACGTTGGAACTTTTGGTTTGATTAAAAGCAAAAGTGAAAATGGATAATAGCTTTAACTTATATCTTGTAACTTGCCCACTTCTCCGCTTTGTCCTGTTTTTTTATAGCATTTTCAATAACACCACAGACCTCACCCATATTTCAAACTTTCTTTTAAAACATGCATGATTAGAAGAATAGGTTGCCAAAAAAAAAAAAGTAATTAAGAAGAATAATATGAATATAAATAATGCATTTATCAGTTTGTTAATAACACTATCAGATCAGAGGATAAATAAAATCCTGTGTGGTTTCATTGAACAGGGGAACTCAGAAACAGCAACACAAGGGAGAACAACGTCATTGATGCTACAATGAACAAAGTCTTTATGATCACATTCTCATGTTCTTTCTCCTTTTCCTTTTCTCTTTCTTAATCATATTTTTATAGCGGAGAATGACAACTGTGAGGCAAGAGCAGGGAATAAGGAGTATGATTATTATTATTTCTTTAATCCCTTCATGCTTCCGATTTTTAATTTCGATACCTTCAAGTTGAACACTATTTTTATCATCATACGTTCCCAAGAAGGTGAATTTGGAAGCCATAATTGATTTTAACTATATATCTATATATATAAATTCAGTACAAAATCCAAGTAGATTTAATTTAATGAAGCCTATTCTATCTGGCTAAATTGGAACGAAGACCTAACTATTTTCAGCTAATAAATAATAAAAGGTAAGAAACACTGAACAGGTTCTCAGACCCACTTTAGAATGACAAGAAATTAATCTCCAACAATACAAGCCAAAACCAAATAATTAGAATATTATCCACAGAAGGGTATAGAATTGCCTCTTCTTTCTATGCCTAACATACAGGACAACTGAATCGGATACAAATGACAGATTATTACTAATATGCATCAGGCAAACCACAAACCAGCATGCAAAAGTAAAAATATAGTGCTGATAATTAAGGGAAGTGTCAAGAAACAACATTAAGAAAGTGGAAGCAAATATATTACTGTATTGAACCAGTCAAGCAAGGATGAGTGTGAACTTCATCTTCATTGCTCAATAAAATGATCGAGCTTGCTCGCCTCATGTCGCAATGAGACTAAGGATGCTTCAGCAGAAGCTAACTCAGTTCTAAGAGTGGAAGCTTTAGCTTCAGCCTCTTTAAGCTTTCTGCTGAGTTCATCGCCATCAACACAGCTCTCAATGCAACCATGCACGTAACTGAGCCAAGAACCATCGAAACCAACTGCTTCTAAAGCAGTACAACACTCTCTGATGTAGTTTCGATCATCCTCTGTCAAGTCACGTCTTCGAGTGCTCCTCAAAATGCGGGTGACTTCAGTGAATACGGAAGCAAATACTCTTCTTCGCTTTGTATTGAACCAATCAAGGACTTGAGGATGACACTTCACTCCAGCCTCCAGATATGGCAAGTTCTGTACCGAAGTGTCAATCATCCACTTGTAGTTGCTGTCAGCATTTGATGCTAACATTGATGAAGTCATGGGTTCTGGAGCTCGTGAAGTTGATGGATCAATTGCTGAATCAAAAAGAGACATAAGAAAATAAGATGGATATAGTTTTATAATTTTTTTAAAAAAGTTATTCTTTTTGTTCTTAAAAGCTAAAAATGCATTACTTGTTGTATATTCAGTATAGTTTGAAGTCTGGCTTGGCAAACTCTCATTTGGAAGTGTTTCCGGGCCAGGGGATTTTTCTAGTATATTTTCAATTTAAACAATAGAATTAGGGATATTAATTATTGAAAAATAATTACACAATGCTAGAATGAACAATGAATTACAAAACACTGATAAAGACCAGTGAGAAAAATAAAGTTGAAACTTGAGAACCATACCTAAACCATTAGAACCTGCAAAATAAATTAAGGAAAATAATCCTGCAGTATTCGATCATTGATTTATGTGAAGTTAGAGCTCGCAAAACAAAATCAATACCTATATTTTCAATCGTGGTAGATTTTAGTACATTTCGAGGAGCTTGAGATGAGAGCTTTTTGATAGTGTCACACATCCCTTGAGCCCCAATAAATAAAACATGTGATTTTTCTCGTTGATTTTAATTAAAATGGAAATTGTAATCATTCATTAATCCAAAGAAACTATTTATCCGAAAAAGAAGAGACTAAATAAGATAAGAACCTGAGTTTTGTGCTTTTGAAAGGCTCCCTCCATCCTTGTCAATGGTATCATCTATATCTTGAGTTCCAATAGCTAAATAAATAATGATAAATATATAACATTAAATGAGATAAATTTTTCTATAAGAAAGAAACTATAAAAAATTATTTCCTTCGAAAGAGTAAAATATCCATTACTTTGTTTCGTGTCACCAATTACAGAGGTTGCAGGCGAATTGGACAAATTTTCGCTGGGAACAATTTTGGAGACGTGTGATTCTTCTAATAAATTTCAATTAACATAATAGAGAGTTAGAGTCATAAACTAATGAATCAAGAGTATAATATTGAAAATTCATCAAATATAATATAACAAAGTAATCCAGGTCATTTATGATGAGTTCGAGACTACAAAACATGATTAAAATCAAAACTTTATAATAGTTAATAACTAATCCAAAGGAGCTCAAAATCATGCAAATCAATTTGAAGACAATAAAACATGATACGAACCTGTGTTTTGTATTGTGGCAAGCCTTATTTTGTCTTGATCAATTTGAATTAATGGTTTATTAATATTCTCATCCATATCTTGGTTCCCAATAGCTTAAAAAATAATTGAAAAAAGTTATTAAAAAAACATAATGGCATAATATTTTTATGAAAAAAGTAATTTCCTTCTAAAAAGGTCAAAAAAACAAAATCATTACTTTCCCCTTTATCAACAATTACAGAGCTATTGGTTTGGTTGAACATGTCCTTTTCTATGTTAGAATCCAAAGCATCTTGGGCAGCTTGAACCATTCCTCGAGTTGTGGTAGCTGAACAAATTAAATTAGTTTGCACAACAAAAGTAGAAAATAAAATGACAAACGATTTTGACCAATATAATATCATTACCTGCATTATGAACCATAATAGGGTTTATTTCATTTTGAGCAGCTTGAATTTGAGGAGTCTTGAATTTTTCATGCATCTTTTGTGTCCGGATATCTGAATCATGTGATTTTTCTAATAAAAAGTTAGAGTCACTTGTTAAGCCAAAAAGCAATGGGACAAAGAATCATGCCACATAAGAAAGCACTTTGGGTCAGATTCTCAGCCAGAAGCATTTTTGGGTCATGTAATTTTTCCAATATATTTTAATTCACATGGTATGGACAGTTACAAACATAACAATTAATAAATTAGAAATGAATTAGTGGGAAACAAGTTAAAAGGTGCATATTACTTTCTTTATTGTTGGCAATTTCCAGTGGCTGTGGTCTGGTTGAATAAATTGTCACTAGCTCAAACTTAAATGTCATGTGATTCTTCTAATAAATTTCAGTCAGAATAACATACAATTGTAATAATTACTTAAGCCAGAAATTACTACAACAAATTAGAGTCTAGTTGTGGGACTTCTCATATTAACTTACGTCTACTCGTATTTGAACATCCAAAAAAAAATCTAGAATATATTATTTCTTGTGTTGAGACAGAGCTCAATGCAATTTGGGTAGCTTGTGTAAAGGGTTTAATTTTTTAATGGCTTCATATTCTTCCTTATTCCTAGTAGCTATACAAAATAAAACAAATAAAAAAAAGTGCGAAAGACAAAAAGAATGATGCAGCAGAATTTTGGCAAAGAATTTTTTTTCCCTTTTCAAAAGGTGAAAAATGCATTAGTTACCTTCTCTGATTTTAGGCATCCATTTGGTTGACCAAATCCTCAATGAAAAATTAGAACCACAAAATAAGATCATCAATACCTGTTTCCTGAACTGAGATATGAGTTGAAGTGTTTTCAACGGATTTAGCAAATGACATTTGAAGGGTCGCATTGGCCTCTTCAGCTCCAGAGGCTGAACAAATATGCAAATTTCATTTTAAATAAACAAGTTTCACAAAATAAAATGAGAAAAATATTTTAGCAAAATAAAAAATGAATTACTTTGCTCCAAATAAATAAAAAACAATGGTAATAGTGTAACAAGATCCATACCTGCATCAACTTTTGGGAGACTTAATGTGTTTTGACTAACTTGATCCAGGGGCAGCTCAGTGATTTCACGCATCTTATGAGCATCAATACCTGAGTAAATAAAATAAATAAATGTAGAATGACAGGAGAATGTAGCAATAATAAAAATAATTTTCTTCCTCATGCAAAAGACGTGCATCTATGTGTTCCATGTTGACAATATAAAAATGGTGATTTGATTGGACAAACTGTTATCCAGAGAGAAGTTTTTGTTATGCGGTATCCTTAGATGATTTCATATAAATATTATTTTTGACGTAATGAATTAAATTAAATATTATGTATCAGACAAAATATTATTTGTCATTGATTTAATATATTATTTAAAATTACTTGAAAATTATATGCCATTAATTTGATTTTGAATCATATATAATTAATCATGAATATATACCTGAATGTGGAATTGGAAGTTTGTGTATTTGTTGCTTCCCTGAATCAACAATCTCACTGGCCTTTGATAGTGCTCCATGCTCCTCGGAGTTTGATGCTCTGCTTGTACTCGCACTAGTTTCATGCCTTTGACTGCCACTTGAAGATTCCTCGTTGTCCCTTTCAACCTCTTCTGCAATTGCCTGATTGAATGAGGCAAACAAACATCTTTGCATTACTACATAGTTTTGCCAGATAGAGGCTCACAAACAGATATTCAGATTTTAATATATGTACCTTGTCTAAGAACATTTGGTTAATAGTGATATTGAGGGACTCTTTCCAACATCTTTTTTCATTTTCCACTACCACAAATTTCAAAAATGGGGCCACAATGAATCCAGATGAGAAATTTTGCATTTTATGGCATCCTGTTACTTTTAATACCACCAAAGATGGGAAGATGAAGGTGTGTTTCCCAGAACAAAAGCATTTGAAACTTGATAAACTACTTAGTTCCAAAGACTTCAAGCTTTCAAAATTGATCTCTTCTTCTAATTCTTCTCCGTTTGTCATCACAACCTCCTTTAGCTTCTCACAATTGCTAGCTGACAGGCTTGTGAGGTGGACGAGACTTTTAGCAGTAAAAGATGTCATTAAGTAAATCAATCCATCGCAATCCTTCACCAACAAGGAAGATAAATTTATGAAAGATGTCAAAGGTGGTGCCAATCTTATCAACATTGAACATTCCAAGATATGCAGTTCTTCAAGGTCCAAAACAAAGGCATCTGATGGAGAGTTACCTTCCATATATGCTCCAGCTGCTCCAGTTGATAGAGCCACAACTTTTTTATTTGGGTGGGGATTTTAATGCTGCAATGCCCAGTTTCTTTAGGTGGAAAAAGTGTTTCAAAAGAACTGCAACGTATTTGAAGCGTTGCTGTACTTGAGAATTTTCCAATCAAATCATTTAGAAAAATAATTGGAGTTCTCTGAAAATATTGCAAACGAAGGAATTCTATGCTTTGAAACAGATTTTTTTCATAATTGTCATTCAATATCCTCATGGCATCCTTTTCATTTAATGACAACTGTTCCAAGTTTTGAGATACCTGAAAAAGGTCAATATTATTTGTTTATTTAATCATTTGATCAACTAAGAAGTTAACCGAGCTGATTTCTTGTTTAGACAGAATGAAATTAAAAAAGATTAATTAATTAAATAAATCGGAATAGAAGGTGCATACCTTTTCAATATGAAACCATGCTTGTTGATTTTGTAACTCAAGGTCACCCACCCCATGTTGCTGGGAATTCAAATGGCCAAATGAAAATATTTGCAATTCTTTACATCGATAGACATTTAGTATCTTCAGTGAAGGACACTCTAGAGTATATCTTTTTGGATAGAAAACAATGAGCTTCGTCAAACGTATTAGCCTCAAGAGTGTTAGCCGAGGAAAATCAAACGTAAGCTCCTCTAATCCTTCTTCATTTGCAACAATTTCCTCAACACCATCACAAGACTCAATATTCAGCTCTTCAAGTTGCCTCAAGCCTTGGCATAGTGAGACGGAAAACAAATTTGTCAGCTGTTGGCATCTATCAACTTTCACAACCTGTAAATTTCCAAAGTTGATTATTTCTGTAGCTTCTCTGTTCCATATGTGTTTCAAATTCGGAAGCCTCGAGAGTGTTAATTTTTCAACCGACTAGCTTCGTCCGATTCCATTACTTTGTCATCCACTTCTTTTATATCAAATACTGCTTCTAACGAATCACACTCTGTTACTTCCAGTTCCTCCAATATATAAAGCAATTGCAGTAATTTTGATGAAAAAATGATGTTGGATAAAAATGAACATTTATGCACCACCAAATGCTTCACATTACAAAATATTTTATGCACATCCTGGCCATACCATAGTTGCTTCAGTTCTGGATATTCAAATAATTCCAAATGATTGAAGCAACTAAATGCCGCCTGTCCAAATAATTATCAAGGTAAGTGATAATAAAATTGTTTTAAAACACATTAAACAATGACATTAGATACTCATATAAAGAAAAGGAAAAAGAAACAAAAGAAAATTGCAACCATAGTATGTCAAAAGAAATTGTGGGTATAGACCACTATCTGTATAAATAGTATTCTCTGGTTGACAGTCTAGATGTTTAAATTAGACAATACCTGAATAAAAAAAATGATATCTTGGAATGTCTTATGGAATGATCTATTTAAATCACCTTTCCTAGCACAATTTTTCATCTTTATCTATATATCTGTATCATTTAAGCATTGGTGTGCTTATATTTCTCTTTGAGAAACTCTTCATTCTTGGACATAAGAACCTTAAAAGTGTAAATATAATCAAGATATAGAAGCAAAGTAAAATACAATGTTCTAAATATTGCTCGGTAATGTCTTCAACACAATTTCATGCTCTGATCTTTTAGGTGGTTATATACAAGAGTTCGACATCTTTATATAATTATATATGGTCCCCATTAGTAATAATAAGTAATTAACACTAATTGAATAAGACAAGTCAAATATATAAGGAAAGGATACGCCACAAATCATGGAGTCCTCGAAATATAACAAACATTTTCTAATGATATTATGTCACCTTTTTCCACTCTCAGTTATCTAACTAGATTGTTAAAATATTATGGCACTTGATCTCTCTAGTTGCTATTATTTTCATTTATAAAGGATAAAATAAAAAATAAATTATCCTTTTAAAAATTGTATATCAGGAAAAAAAAATCATCTGCTAATAGAATCATAATTAACCTAGATAGTAGGAATATTCTAAAGGCTAGGAAACAAGCATAAAAAATAGAGAGAACACTCACTTATCAATTGTGTGGCAACGTTTCATTATACACACAAATTTCTTGTCATGGCTAAGGCTTTATTTTCTTATATTTATTGGGAGTAAATATGATGAAAATAAAAAACTATGCTACATATAATCAAAATATATTGTCCGAACTAGTTAAGAAATAAGTCTCAGACCTCTCCAATGGAATATGTTGATGTTGGGTTCGACATTTCTGTAAACTCAGGATATTGAAATAGCTCCAGACGCTCCAAACTACGAAATGCCACCTATGAATAACAATTGATCTATAAATGTTTTGTTTGTAACAAATGTTTTTGTCATACTGAAACATATATACACAACATCCAAGAACACGAAAACACATCACACAAAAATATTTGACAACTATTTTGCAAATAGCCATTATAATGGGTAAAAAGAAATTGCATGTCATGCAAGTTATTATGTAGAAATAATTTCACTTTCTTCATTTAAAGTGATTAATTGCCTAAAATAAATACATACCATATGCTGGAAGATATTTTTCACTGTACCATCTAGGTCACCTTCACAAAACCATTGTTCATCCTGGTCATCTGTCAATATCTCTTGAAGTAATGGTGCACTTGTGTCGCTCGCAGAGAAGCTCTTCATTCTCGCGCATTGCCTTATCACAAGTTTCTCTAACAACGGAAGCTTCAAGTAGCAGCTACTGGAGCAAAACATTTTAAGTCTCGGCAAAGATTCAAGTTCTAAAACTTCTAGGCTATCAAATGCAATTTCTTTATTTGTGCTCTCTCCTCCCTCTTGTGCCACAATTTGTTCAACTGAATTACATGCTCTTATCTTCAATGTTGTCAACTTGACTAGACTTCTTGCTGTTGATGCTGTAATTACATCATTCAACCCATTGCAATTTTGCACCTGTAAATATGCCAAGCGATTGAAAGTAACAGAGGAAGGCACCAGGAGCTTTAAATTGGAACAACAGCTCACATGCAAGTATTCAAGTGCCTCCAAAATTGGGTTTAACTGGAACCCTTCCTTACAAATATGTCGGAGTTCATCCAAGTCATTGAGTGTCAACTTTTTTATTTTTGCTTTGATATCTTTTTGTCCTTTCTCATCTCCAGGTATCTCGTCTTGGAATATTACCTTAGAAGAATTGGACCGAATGACTAGCCACTCTAGAGTAGTGATATTTTGGAGAATCCAGTATAGAAAAGTAGCTTGGGCATCTTCTATATTGCACATCTGAAGAAATTTAAGTTTGCAAATCGATCCCTCGAAATTTGCCATTGAAGAGCCATCCTATCATCTTCATTGTTTAGAGTTAACCCCTCTAAGTTGTGTATTAACTATGCCAGCAGTGGAAACAAAAATTTGATTAGTATGACTTATAAGAGATAATATTGAAGAACCAAAACAAAAATCTAATGCCAAGCAATGTAATAGAAGTTCATTTAACTGTATGTGGTTAAAACATACGGAGGAATTGTGTAACGTGCAAGTTGGGCACAACCTGCTTTGATATTAAAAATTCATCAATGATCAAATCCATTTTAAATAGCCAGCACTTTGCGAGAATATTATTGCATGAATTAAAATAAGAAGGATTGGTAGTTCAAATTCTTAAATTATGCAGCACTACCTCTCATCCCAAATTATAAGACATTTGTAGGAAAGATTTGGCATCCCAAAATATAGTTTAATTAATGATGCTTTTCTAATATTATCATTCCTATTATATTTTCTCTCTTCAAAAAATGAAGTATTAAATGAAAGATATTTTTAAAATTTTATATTTTTATTTTGAAAAAAATAAAGTTATAAAGTGTGTTTGATGACTTTATTAGTATGCGTAATTTTGTCTATAAGTATCTTATAAATTAGAATGAAAGGAACACTTCAGTAGCATGAGAAACTTTTCTTATTTTAAAAAATTAAATATTATTTCTATTCAAACAATGAATTAATATATCCTTTTAAGAAGTTCTAATTTATTATATATATTAAAATGAGCTTATAATTAACCAAGAGTTTTCACATTTTTTAGGTTTCCTCATTATTGATCAACTATGAGGATGAAGATGATTCCATCACTAATTATGTTATTTAACTTGAGAAGCTTTCCTTTTCAAAATATTAAGAACAATATTTAAGTAACGAAAACATGACCCAGTCACATAACGAATATAAAAACACACAAATTACTATAATAAAAAAATGATCAAATTAAGCCTGAATAAATATCATATTAATAAATACTAAAAGAAACACTCTTAAATGGTTCTAGTGTTTAAAATATATTACAGAACGCATGCTCAAATAGAAAATACAACAAAAAAAAACACCATTTGAAATAATGAAATTAAATGACAGGAATGTTGTTCAAATATATTTCAAATAAAAGTAAACAATTTCAAAATTTTAGATCTAACAAACAATATAAATGATTGAGTCAGTCACTAAAGTCTTGAAAACACTATTGTAAGAATGAAAATGATGAACCACTATGGATGCCACATATATATGATGGGATTGAGTTCTACTTATTATGTTTTTAAATAAGAAAAAGGAACACAGCAAAAATTGGAGTGCTTTTTGACAAGTCATACCTCTTCTAGCGCTAAAAGAGGTTGCATTGAAACTTGGAGATTATTATCAGAAACTCCTTCTTGACATTGTGTCTTGAATAACTTCAATTTCATACAATTGTGGACACTCAAGGTTTTCAATGAGGAACAAACTAAAGTGTGATTTTCTGTACAAAATCCCTCCAAATCTTGTAAATTCCAAAGCTTCAATGAGTTCAGTTGTTTAAACTCAAATCTAGCAGGACTATCCGAGGGCCCTTCTTTCTTTGAGACAATATTCTTCATATTTCCTGCTCGTTTAATAATAATTCTTTCGAGTTTAGGAAGGCCCAGTGCTATGGAGAATGGAATAAGGTATTCTAAAACTCTACATTGTCCAACACATATCGACTGAAGACTTGATATTTGAAGACTCGATTGAGGATCTCTACTCCAAATGTGTTTCAGTTGTGGTAATTGAAGCAGTGTCATTTCCTTGAGTTGAGTTTTCTCCTCTTCACTGATCAAATCACTAACATCGCCCAGCTGAAAGATCTCTTGCACTGAGTTACAACTCCGGACAGTCAATGTCTCTAGACTCGTATATCCTTTACGCATGTATGCTGGAAATATATTCTCCAGTTTCTCACAATTGTTGACTTCCAAACTTTTAAAGCTGCCCATAGAATTTGGACTGAGGATGGGGTCCCATATTGCCTTCAAGTTTTGCATATCCTTCATTGCTATTGCTTCCAAATTGGGTAAATCCACCTAGAATCCATTCATGTTCATCTCAATTAAGTGTGAACAAAACTTCGATGGACAATTTCAAACAAAATTATACAATAAGGTAAAGTGTAATCGGTTCTAATACATTATCAAAGTCTACAAATTGTCTAAGAACCCAACGCATTTTTTACTATAGTTCAAATTTAACATTCAAAACTAAGACGTCGTCACAAGATCAATCAACTTATTGACCATTTCAACATAAGTCAGTTAGCAGAGCAAAATTTTGAACGATTTACATGCAGTTGATGTATGTTTTCAATGTGATTTTCTGTATACAAAATATTCCTCTTACCGTTCCATGAAATAATAAAATTACAAGAAAAGTAAAACTGACACCTTCTCTTTAATATTATAAATGATCAATGTTTACATTTTATTTCATTTTAATGAAATTAACCCATACCTTTGCCACTGAAAACAGAGGTCGTTGACAGGGGATTCCAACTTCATCCTCTTCCCTTTTCCCTCCATCGGTTGGTGCTTTTGACATCTTACATCTCTCTGCTTGAACCTCTTTTGAATCTCCAAAACTCTCAATTTCTTGGCAACCTTGCTTCCATATATATTGAAGTTTCGGGAGGTTAGAAATAGAGATCTTTCGTAGATGAATGACTTCTTTCTCTGCCATTTCTCCTTCATTTGGAGTTTTAAATTCAAACACAGCTTCTAATGAATCACACTCTCTTACTTGAATTTCTTCCAAGATCCGCAATGCTCGTAGCAAATTTGAAGGAATAAGAACACGTGATAAGAAGTCACAATTTTTCACCACTAGAGATTTCAAATTACTGAACATTTTGTTCTCAACAGGATTGTACCACAAGTCTCTTAACTCAGGATACAAGGATAAAACTAAATGCTTCAGAGTTATGGAATGCAATCTGTGCAAAGGAAATTCTAAAGTTATTAGCTAAAATAAAAATGCATTGAAGGGTTGTTAAACAATATTAACAAGGGATTTTTACTCGTCATCATCATTACTCTATTTCACACCATATTTGAACAGAAAATAAAACATACCTTATCCCGTAGATCTTTTTTATTATTCCATTCAAGTCACTTTCCAAGCACCATTCTTTATCTTTTCCATCTTTTATTACCCTTCGAAGCATTGGTGTGCTTGTTCCTCTTTCACAGAAGGTTTTCATTCTTGGACATTGCCTTATCACAACTCTCGTCAACAGCGGGAATTTGAAGAAGCACTGATGACTAGATGAAAAACTATTGAGTCTTGGCAAACTTTCCAACTCTAAAGTTGTCAACCTTCTGAATACAATTTCCTCACATGTCACATTCAGCTCCTGCATCACTACTTCTTCAAGTGAATTGCATTCTTTTAATTTTATGCTTTCCAATTTGACCAGACTTGTTGCAGTTGATGAGTAAACTAAGTTTGTCAATCCATTACACTTTTCTATCACCAAATTTGTCAAGTGGGAAAAAGTGACAAGGAAGGAATCAAAATTTTCAAACTGTCACATTCTTTCACATATAACTCTTGAAGGACCTCGAGAATTGGGTCAATTTGGCATCCTTCTTTGCATATATGTTGTAACTGTAGATTCAACAAGCTTAACAGTTCGAGCTGGGTGTTAATTTTGTTGTTTCCTTCCTCATATGCAACTCTTTCACCTCGAAATATCTCTTTCAAGGAACCATGTTGAACAACCATAACTTTCAAGTTCGGTGCCTTTTGCACAATTGAATCTAAAAAAGTTGCTGCTACTTTATCATCAAATTGGGACAACCGAAGAACCTTCAATTTTCTGAAATAATGATCCTTCCATCGTGGGTCTTGCAACATCATTATAGCCTCTTTATTGTTTAATTTCCAGTTTTCCAAGTTAGGAATCACCTGAAACATAGCATACTTCTATTTTCTTTCACATAAATAATTAAGAAATGGTTTACCAATAAGTAAAGAGGCACCATACGTGATTACACTACTGTGAAAAAATACTTTTAACATTATTATATTTGGGAGACATGATATTAAGGGGCATAATATTTTGTAGTGTTATATTCTATTCAGCTACAAATCACCGAAAAGCATTAAACTTCACATAAAAGTCTCCATACATTTTTCCAACTTGCAAAAGTCTCCATACATTTTTCCAACTTTTTTCATTTTAATATGTTCTGAAATATTTTAATATTTTGTTGAAATAAAAATGATTTCACATCAAAAATCACATGTCACACAATTTTTCCTTACCTTCAAACATGCAATATTCATTATCAATGAAATATTTTAGAAGATAGAGGAACCAATTATTTAAAAGAAAAATAACTATTTTACGAAAAGTTAGATAATTCTAAAATGAATAAAATATTCTACAATTGATACTGTACCTCTTCAGTTATAAAAAGAGGTTGGTGCATAGAAATCTTGTTACTTGTGCACTGTCTCCCTAATAACTTCAATTTTTCACAGTTGAAGACCCATAACTGCCCCAACGAGGGGCAAATTAAGTTGTAACTTCCAGCATAGAATCTCTCAAGTTTGGGCATGTGGCAAATCTCCAAGGAGTGTAACCGATCAAAGTGAAATAAGTCTTTTTCCTTCATGGGTCCTTCTTTCTTTGCCACAATTTCATTCATTCCACAAAAAACAACTCTAAGTTTTTCGAGCTGATGAAGATCCATAGCTATTGAAAATGGGAAGAGATATTCTAAATTTTCACATTCTTCAACAAGGACAATTTGGAGCTTATGAAAGTGGAAATTTTGTTGGGGATCCTTACTCCATATATGTTTCAACTTGGGCAAGCGACGGAGATGGAGTTTCTTCATTTGTGTCACTTGTGTCATTGTGTCCTCTTCACTCTGGATTTCTTCATTGGCAGCTAATCTAAATATCTCTTTCATAGAACCACAATCACTGACCTTCAATGTCTCCAGGCTTCCAAATGTTGATCTCTTCATTTCAGACAGGAATATCTTCTCAAGTTTCTCACAATTAATCACCTCCAAAATCTTCAAACTATAAAATTGACTGTGCCATACTTTCTTCAAGCTTTTCATGTTTTTTATTTCCACACTCTCCAATTTCGATAATCGAACCTGTGATTACAATTCACATTTCTATGAACATCAACAACAATTAATAATGCTTGCAACTATACAAAGGTAAATTGTATTACCTCTCCCAGTATTGGGCCATTTTTCTCCTCCATTGCAATTATCTCCTCCATCATATCACATTTACTTATTTTAAGCTGTTTAAGATTTTGAAAACTTCCAATCATAGAAGATGCAAATAAATACTTTAGGCCACTACAATTCTCGACACTCAAATTTTCCAATTTGTGTAGAGAATTGTTTGCAGAGAGGTGGTCATCATCCCAAATCTTTTTCAAATTGATTGAACTCAGCTTTAGAGTCTCCAAATTAAAAAATCTAACCTGTGAAAAGGATTATATTAATACACAATAATATCGTTGGAGAGGATGAATAAAATGTTGAGAATTTTGATCAAACTTTTAATATATGACATCATCATTAGTCTTATGGGGCTCAAAATCTGACAATCATGTGTAGAAGAAAATGCTTAAAAAATTCTCATGGATTAAAATTTTATATATTAAATTTGAATGGTATATTCTATCCAAACTAAAATATAATTTATCAAATGAAACAATTATCAAAAGTTTCATATTATAGAGCTGCTTGATATACGTTCAATTTCATTTAAAACTTACAATGCATGATCAAAGTTACGTTCAACTTAATTATTTCTTACAATTAAGTTGACCATGATAAAAAAATAAAAAAAAAAGAATGCTAAAATTGCATGACATAATAGAAATGTTGGGAGTTTTGACCATATACAAGGGACAATGTTATTATTAGTATTGATTCATGCAAAAATTGACGTCATACACTTATAATATCATACAAATTTTTTCATCTAATTTCTTCTCAGCTTAAAAAAGTTTTTCGGGATTAAAATCTTACATGTTATTCTTTATTAGCATTTCTTTGCAAATTAAAGTACAATAAATATTTTAAATATTTTTAGTGCAATAGTATAAAAAATTAATTAGTTTTATCTAACAAATTAATTTTATATCTACTTTCCTATACATTTTAGTGCAATAGTCTCTTAATCATTTTAAAAAAGTGTACACACATACAAACAAAATTCAATACAAGAATTAAATAAATAAAAAAAGCATACCTTCGCATTAAAAAAAGATGGAGGAATGTTGGTATCCAGATAACCCTGCTTAGATGTTACAGAAAATTTCAACTCATTGGAGTAGAAATCATCAACAGCCGACAAATGTTGTAAAGTTAAGGAGCGTAATGAATAAAATTCAATATTATCATCAACCCTCAGTGAGGTTGGGGAAGGGCTTTCTGAAAACACAATCTTCTTCATGGAATTACATTCTGAAACTTCAATCCCAACAAGTTGGCAAAGGGCTTTGACCATCAACACCGAGAAAAGATACTTCAATTGGTCACAACATTTGACTTTGATTGATCTAAGTTTTGCAAATGAGTCGTTTGTAAATGAACCATGACATATCTTCTCCAATTTATTAAGATTTTGAAGTTTTAATGTCTCTAATTTTGGGAAGAAAGCATGACTTTGTTTTCTCTCAATTGATTTGATGATGTGTTGAATTTCGCCATTTTGGATATGAAGGTTCTTTAATAGAGGAAACCCTTCCCCATTCAAATCATAAAGCACATTAGAGATTCCATTTATTTCATCCAAGTACAAATCCTCTACTCCTTTAATAAGTTCTTTGATCGCATGCTCCAAATGAATGCTAGTACTGAGCTTGAGCTTCAACATTTTGGAAGCCATATCATCATTAGACCACTCCCAATCATTTCCTATCACTATTTTATATCTCTCTAGATTCTCAAACAATATGTCCCTTGGAAAAACCCATGGCCCTTGAGTTTGAATCTCTAAAGTTGTCAAGTTTTCCAAATGCTAAGTTCAGAAAGGGAAGCATTTTTATTCTTTTTAACTGAATCTTTTATGTCCCACTTAATGGAGGTATTCCCTAAGTACAATTCTTCCAATTCAGTCAATTTTGATAAAATATTGGAAGGAAAGATTTCAATTCCACAATTGGTCAAATACAACATTTTAAGATGAGTCAATTGACCTAGTTCACTAGGGAATGTTATCATGGATGATTCATAAAGGCTAAGAATTTGCAAACTTGTTAAAGCTCTAATGTTGGTCATGTCTCCCAAAGCACATTGATCCAAACAAAGTGTTTGAAGGTCATTAAGGGAATGAAAAGATTTGGGCAATGAAGGTAAGTGCATGCAAGTCAAATCTAACACTTTGAGCTTTTTCATTCCCTCGAAGAAAGAATCAGGGATTTGTAAATCATCATTTACATTGAACAAGTAGAATAGTTCAACATTAGGACACTCCAACCTTTTAGGAAGCTCATGGATGTGACAACATTGCAAGATAATTTGACGGCATCCTTGGAGCATATCCTCTGTCGGCCATTTCTTCAGCTCTCCACCCCTTGCAATTTTGAAAACAATCTGATCCCTTGATGCAATTGCTAGTGCTACTTCTTTAACGATGTCATGCATTTTAACCTTCGCATTTATGCTGCCTTCAAGTAGTAGACATAATGCTTTCAAGGAATCAATCAACTCGTAAAATCTAACTCTTGCATCTTTTATGTAGTAACGTGCTTGAATATGCCCAGACCTATAGCACATTTCATCAAGTATTCATTTGATGATGAACTTATGACTCCACAGAGCAAGAAAAGTGCCTTCAGTTCATCATTCTCAAGATGATTGTAACTAAACTCCAGAGCCGAATAAATTATCCCATTCATTCCTTCCTTATCAACAGTCTTTAGTTGGTTTAAAGAATCCTTCCAAGAATTAATACTACCTTTATTTTTTAATGCTCTTGCCACTATCACTGTAAGGACAGGCAAGCCTGCACATTTTTGGGCCACTTGAATTGCCACGCTACGCAAATTATCATCTTTAACAACATCACCCACCATATCTTCAAACAAGCTCCAAGACTCATCTTCATTTAAAACATCTACCAAGAAGTCTTTTTGTGTCTCCATTTTTTGTAATATATCTAGATTCCTCGAAGTCAACAATAGTTTGCATCCCTTGTGATCCTTCAAAGAAATTCCTAGCTTATCTAAATCAAGTGTTGACCAAAGATCATCCAATATGACTAGGATACTTTTCTCACTTTTAATCCTTTGCCGGAGGCGACTTGCTCTTCCAACTATAGTTGTCTCTTCAAAGCGAAGGCCCAAAAAATCTGCAATTTCACGTTGAATTTTTTCTAGATCTGGAGTTTGGGATATATGAGCCATTACAACTTCATCAAACAAATTCTCATCTTTGACTTGTTTAGCAATTTCTTTAACTAGAGTGGTTTTTCCCACTCCACCAAGCCCATAGACCCCTACCTGGCTTAAGTTAGGGTCTTTTAGAGCCAAGACAATGTCCTCCTTCATTTTCTTTCTTGACTCAAGCTTCTCACTACTCGTAGCGGAAGTGGAGCCTACTCCTTCTAAAGCAGGCAAGTATCCAAGCGGTTTAATATTGTCTTTTCTTTGCATTACTTCATCAACGTTTCTAGACATTTTCTTTGCTTTTCTACTTAGTTGATGCCGTGACTTTAAATCAGGAAAAGGCCCCCTGCAGCAACCAGCATTACTATGATGAGGATCATCACTAAGTTTTTTGGCTGCTTCAATGGTTTCATCCACTTTCTCTAGCCAGTTCTTTACAGCATCATTAATTTGATATCCATTTCTTCTTTCTGCTTCCACTTCACGATTGATAGTTTCCTTTATGGTCTTGAGCTCCGCAAGCTGATCCTTGAGATTCGTGAAATTGTCTTTGTAGAAAATCAAATAACCCACTTGCCTTGCAATGGGTGCCACAGTGTAGTCTACTATCGGTTCTACAACTTTTTCAGCAATGGTACTTATGAGAGTCTCCATTCTTGTTTTCGGATTTAGCTGCGCAAGAACTCGAATATAAGATTAACTGATAATATAGGAATAGAAAACAGTGGAAGTGGACCCCCTCCTGCAAGTATCCTTATTACGATGTCTCACAATTGCGAAAATTTTAACCGTTGATTACATCCAAGAACTTCATTTACATCTATTTTCGGTTGCATCTCATCATATGTTATTACTCTTTTATTATCTTTTAAAAAATAACGGTTAAATAATACTAGTTAAAAATGTGACACCTTTGATATGACTTATCTCCCTTTTTAACCCTAAACTTTTAAAATTAAATAATTTTGCAAAGATTGATAATAAATTAATGAATAAAATATACCAACATTCCCTCTATTTTAACTTAATTAAAAATACCTCCCTTTTATTTTTCAAATATATAAAAATCTCATTTAGAATCAATAGTGGCAAAACACCAACCTCCCTTCTATTCTTTTTGGCCAAAAAAAAAAAACCTCTACTTTTAGAATTTCATTTTCATTCACTCAACTATTAACTATTAAGTTACATGGACAAAAATGCCGCTCTTTAAATATAGATATCGTCTACTATTAATTTACGTTATCCAAAAACAAATTTAATGCATATATTTAGTTTACCTTTTTTAATTCATATTTTTAATTTTTTATTTATGTAAACTTATTTATTTAATAATTTTTAAATTCTCAAATACATAAGTTAACTAAAATAATATTTTAAACATGTGTAAATAACCTTAATGAAATTGGGATTTAATAAGAGATAAATTATTTAATATATTTTTTTATTTTTATTTTTCTATCAAATAATATTCTATTAATCTTAGCATATTATTTATAAATTATATTAGCTAAAGTATATTTTTGGTCTCTAATTTTATATAAGATTTCAGTTTGGACCCTTTAATTTTATAAAGTACCTTTTCGATCATTTAACTGTAATGCTGTCAAAATCAAGTGATTACTTTTTGTGTCAATAATTGTTATTCTAAAATAATTAAATTTAATATGTCAACTTTTAAAAATATTTTTTAATATTGAAAAGTTTAATATAAAGATTTTTTGTTAACGAGACTCACTATATTAAAGTTAAAGGATCAAAAAGATACTTTATGAAATTAAATTATTAAAATAAAAATTTGTGTAAAGTTAAAAGATTAAATTTACACTTTAGTTAATTATAATTTTAAATATTATCATGATTAATTACTTAAAGTTGTTTAAATTGGAGGGAGAAAGAGTAGACAATTAGTTTTTAAGGGCATATTAATAATTTTAAAATTTTCAACTTAATTATAACTAAAAATTTAAATATTTTAGAATCTTTAAAGAAATATTTCGAAAGGCAGTATTATAAATTGAATTAAAATATAGGCTTTTAAAAAAAGAGGGAGGCCTCTATAATTTTAGCCAAAAAAGAGATCATTCTATTTATCTACTCTAGATTTTTTTTATTGAACAACTTTAACATACTTCGTTAAAAAAAAAAAAGAATAATTTTAACATTCAAATATTATTAAAATTCTATCACTACAAGTATTGTTATCGTGCTTTTTTGTACTTTACATTTTATTGTTTGAGTATTTGTCAATATATTTAAGTAGGAAGAAAATATTAAAATCATAACAAAAGTTTTCTAAAAACATTCTGTTATTATTTATCTATCTCGTGGATCGTATGAAAAAAATATGTAGTTATACTCATAATAAACACAAAACAAACGAAAAATTTTCATCGGAAATGACTAAATAATTTAATAAATTTTACAAGATTATGCTTTTCAATATGAAATAAATCTAACGAAATATTTAAATATTGAAGAAAAATAAAAAATTACGAGAAGTTTGATTGAATAGGTTAATTAAAAAAAAACTTATACAATTAGCCTTATATAATTAAGGTTAAATGATAAAAATATCCTAAAACTTTTTTTTTTACTGTGCCTGGCATCCTAATTTTTTTTTGAAGCATTTTTACCTCCAAAAATTCAAAAACATAACATTTTAGTCCTACCGTTAAAAATCACAAATGTTGACTGTAAATTGACCAGGATATTTTATGATTTTACTCTCCTTGTGTTTTTTGGTTTTCATTTTACAATTTGTTAAATGGATGATTTTTTTAAATATAAATATACTTGCTAATCTTACAAAGTCATTACACTTTATGAAGTTGTTAATCATCCTTTTGATATTTAATTGTGTTCTGAAGAACATACATGTAATTCTTTTTGTTGTAGTGGTATTTTCCATAAGCTATATATGATTTGATATGCATAGATAACATAAAGATGGGATAATTTATTCTACAGTCAGTTTTTTAATTTGGGAAAATCAATTGAAGGACCATTTAAATAAATTATTTGTAGATAATAACTAATATAAAATATATTGTTATTCAAATAAGAGCGTGAATTTAGTTTTTCTAAAATAAAACTTGTTATTAATCCTTGTTTATGATTAATTTATTTGAGTGGTCATTCAATGTCATTCTCTCTTTTAATTTTACTGAACTTACAATATTTTTTTTATAGAAAAGTGCAAAAGAAAGCTTACCTCTCGCTTCTCCTCTCCTCCACGGATACGTTTGCTCAACGTTTTTTAAGAAATCTGTTGACCAATTAAACTGAAGTGGCCAATGTTATAAGTTTATTGATCATTCAACTAATTTTCCGTTTTTTTAACACAAAAGAAAATAATAAACCTTGTGAAAAATGCATATGCTTCCTTTTTCAGTAAAAAAAAAAAAATGTGGTTGAGCTATTTGCGCGTTAACACCAGTTCTAATTTTAAGATTCTTTGTTCATTTACACAAATTTTTTCCCCAAATTTTTAACCGTGACTCGTATTTTTTGAACGAAAAGGGAATTCCATTCCAACAACAGTAAAAATGAAATAGAGAGCAACATCTAAACGAAATAACAATGATCCAAAATAACGAGAAAGCGATGGAAAAGACAAAAGCTGAAGCCAAAGCAACACACACGGATAAGCCCACACCCGATCAGTTACATTTTTCAATTATAGTTTTTTAAAATTGAAAAGTAAGAAAAGCATTATTCTTGTCGATGTTATTTTTCAAAATTTAATTGGTTGAGTAAGTGAAGGATGTAACCATAGCTCACATTTCTAATATGGATTTTTAGTTCCTATGCTTGAAGAAACCAGGGCCGAGACATGATTCTCCAAAGAAAAGTCCCGTTAAATCACAAGCCAAATATGCCTCAGAAATGCAGTATTACAACACAAAGTGACCTTTCGTTTGCTTCCATCTGAAAGTCATTGGCTATACACCAAACAAGACCTTGTCTTAGGTAAGAAACTTATATTTAAGTCAAAACTTTAAAAATTGAATTGTACCGAATTAAAATTTAAAAATTGAGTTTGAAATTTCAATTATTCCAAGAAGAGGTTTGTCCTTTTCATTTGGCTTCTTGGCACTCTCTTGTTCTTCCTTTCTAACATCTCATGTTGTTCCCCCTACCATTTGTTTTTAAATATTGTAGACATTACGTTGGCATTATGGAAGCTCTTGTACTAGGTTGCCCCTGGTTGATGCTTATTTTGGTCTCCCTAAGGTCGTCTAGTATAAGCTAAGCAGTCTCTCTCGTTTTCGGTAAACTTTGAAGCCTAATTTGGATGTAGAGAAGAGTAAAAAAGAAAATAATATAAGGTGGAAAGAAAACTATTAGATAAATTTTTTTTACTACTTTTCAGAGTTTTCCCTCCTACTTTTCTCTTCGCCTTGTTTCTCTCTCCATCCACACTAAAAATAAGATTATAAGTTATATGACACTCTGCGTTCAGACTGAGGTTACCTATTCCACCGTCAAGTAGTGTAGATGTGTGTGGCTGAAGAATGGGTCTCTTTTTTCTCTACGGTGAAAGGCTGAGATAAGTATAAAAAAAGAAGACAATAAATTATAACTAATGACATCTTTTATAAGTTTTATTAGTAACAAATTTATAGTTTTAACTTTTGAGGAACAAAAATTTACAAATAGGGATAACACGCCAAGTAACAACATCTAAACATTAAAGTAAAATATAGCAAGTGGCAACCGTATCCGAATAAGGAAATTATAAAACCTCCAGGATAAAGACGCCACTTCGTGACAAAAATATTTGAGACAATCAACAAGAAGGGCGTGTCGTGGCGTTCAGATGATAAAGCAACATTTCAATATTATATATATATATATATATATTAACAAGAGAGGATGGCGGGATGAAAAAAAATTAAGAGCGGTGGGATGATTTTTGCTGTGCTACTAATCAGATTTCATTTGACTTATATAAATTTCCTATTTTAAAATATTAAATTTTAAAATTTCAAAATATTCAAATCATTTTTCTTTCTGGCCAATATATATATATAGGATCTTATTAGACTATATCCAATACTCCAAGCGAACCAAATCTGAAAGTAACCTTACCCAATAGCCAATGCGAATGAGAGGTGATCGATGTTGGGGTTGTGTGGATGTTTAGCCGCCGATTTGAGTATCAAGTAAAGTTCTGTTGCTGGAAACCAAAGAGAGAAAATAATTAGTAAGCACAATAAACATATTCATATTCATATCACTTTTCTCCAAACGCAGAAATTAATAAATTTTAACCTTCAGAAGCCTTTACCTCTTTCACTTCACGATCAGCAACACCACTTCTCTTGCCTCTCACAAATGCAGACGTAGACAGTACCAAAACTTTGAGAGCACAATTTCCTTTTTTTGTTGATTGTTATATATGAAAGATCATAAGAAAACCCACGAATTTCATATACGCACAAGAACAACAGCAAGGAAAGAAATCTCCAAATCAACTTTTTCTCTCACAGTTCCGATGAGATGAAATACAGAAAGACAGTACAATAGTTTTTTTTTTTTTTTTTGAGACTGACAAGAAGATAACAACTCAAATTCAAACGAAAGAAGAGTGACAACAAAAGAGACTCATAAATGAAAAACACAAACTTTTTTTTTCTTTTTTGAAATTGTTTATGTGTATATATAAACTAGACACCCAGCAGAAAACCAAAGCCTCGAAACTGGATGGAGAAGAAGAGTAGCGATTTTTTTTTTTTTGGAAATATCAAAGCAAGCTTGATGAAACTATTGCTGAAAATGCAGGAAAGCAGGTTAAACTGAAAACTTGCAAGAGGAATGCAGAATGGTAGTCATGGAAACAAATGGCCGACGATTCTTTCTTTGAATGATTTGTATGTGAAGTTAGAAAGACACAGCACAAGAAATTGGAGGATCGGAACAGAGTGCTCAGAAAGCAGAGGACGAGGAGGCAGAAAAAATGAGATGCAATCAATCCCAATTTCCGTAAAAGGCTCCCACAAGACTTGCTTTTTCAAGGCAACGTCAATTCTCACTCTTCTATTATGGTGAGCAAACGACGAAAGCTAGGCTGGAAAAATATCAACATTGCAGTACTTAAAATAGGATTTTTCTTTTCCTTTTTTTTTCCCCCGACATGAGCAAATTATCTTCCTAATTTTAGGTCAAATAATAATATACATCTTAAATGTATTTATTATATAAACTATTTTTTCAATATTTAAAAATCATATAATTTGACATCTACTATTAATAAAAATTAATTTTAACCATTAATTAATTAAAAAATAATAGAAAATTATATCAAAATTATAGTAAATAACTAAAAAATTGTAATAAAAGATTCAAAAGTTACAAACAAGTATCAAAAGAATTACAAAAAGGATAAACAAAATTTTGATCATTTTCTATCATTTTTAGGTCAACTAAATATTAGAGTTAACTTTTGTTAACAACATTAGTTAAATTGTATCATTTTTAAAACTTAAAAAAATAATTTATATAATAAATAAGTTTATGGTCTATGGTGGTCTAAAGTTTAAAAGATAATTTACTCTTATTTTTATATAAAAATATCAATTAATAAAAAGAAATTAATTTACAGTGCATGAGTTTACAATAATTTTCAAGGAAAAAGAAGAGAATTTTAAGTCCTAAAAAATACTAAATGAAACAAAAGTAAAGTAATTAACAAGGACATGATGAATATCTTGCACCAAAAAAAACAAGTAAGAAGGCAATCAAATAATTTTCTTCCATAGCACTAAAATGTGACACCACACTTAACATAGGACACGCTTAAGACACTGTATTTAATATTTGCTTTGTAAGATGAGAGAAGAAATCCAAAAGTAAAAGAATTTTTTTATCTGTCTTTTCTTAAAAAAATTTATATTAGAAAAAGAAAATATTTTTTGTTCTATTTTTTTTTAAAATACATATATGTATAACTAAAAAAAGACAGTATTTTGCATGCTAAGATTGAAGATTTATTATAGCTCAACTTGGACGTCCAAAAGGGTTTGACTTCAAAGTTAGTTAAGCTACTGAGTAAAAAATAGTGATGATGGGCCTTTTTAATAATCTATTCTAAAAATAATTTTTTATTTTTTAAAATAAAAAAAATTAATAACATATTTTTAAAAAATATTTTGAAAAATAAAAAAAATATTATTTTAAAGAACAGAAAAATAAAAATAAATTTTAAGTGTTATGAAATTATTATTTTAAAAAATAAAAAAAATAAAAAGACACATATTTTGATCATTTTTTTATTCTCATAATATATTTTACAAAATATTAATTTTCAGAATAATAAAATAAAAACAATTTTAAAATACTTAATAAGATATTTTCTCTAATTAAAAGTATAAGATATTTTTTTTTATACAAGATGATAAAAAATATAAGACATTTTAAATTTTTCCAATTGTGAAGTTTTTTTAATACTCTTAATTAGAGTATAATTAATAAAGTTTTTTAATTAATATAATTTATTAAGTAAGGTTTTCTTTACTTGAGTGATTTGTACGTGAAGCTAGAAAGACACAGCACAAGAAATTGGAGGATCGGAACAGATTGCCCAGAAAGCAGAGGACGAAGAGGCAGTAAAAATGAGATGCAATCAATCCCTACTTCTGTTGCTGCAAGACTTGCTTTTTCCAAGTCAACAGCTAAATTCCCACTCTTTTCATTGTCGTCAAGAAGCGACAAAAGCCAGGCTGGAAAAAATCAACGTTGTACTGAAGACAGGCTTCGTTGCAGGCCTTGAAAATAGAAAAAATGACACTTTGAACCCAATACATTTTAATATTGTACTGCAGCTCTAGTGACCTTTATTGTAATTTTATTAAAAAATAGAAGTATAATTTTACCTTTATTTTAAAACTCAATTTATGCAAACCCTCGTCCACAGTACACAATATGATATCTAAAGATTATAGATAAGAATCCAAATAATTATAGAAAAAAAATAGCCTTTTCAGTCATTTTCAAATAAATTAATAGTTAAAATTAATTTTTATCAATAACAGTAACTAAATTGTATTGTTTTTAAAAGTTAAGAAAGCGATTTGCATAATAAATAAATTTAAAATCTGTAATGCTAGTGAATTTAAAGTTCAAGAATTAATTTACTCATTTACTCTTATTTTTTTATATAAAAATATCAATTAATAAAAAGAAATTAGTTGACAAGATGGAAGAGTTCTAAATCCTAAGAAATATTAAAGGAAATAAAAGCAAAGTAGTTAATAAACACATGAATATTTTGCACTAGTGGTAAAAAAAAGTAATGCTTTATAAGAAGGCAGTAAAATAATTTCCTTCAATAGCACTGAAATATAAGACCACACTTAACTTAGGATATGTGTTTGACCAAAAAAAAAAAAAGAACTTAGGATAGGTGATATTGTACTTAAGACATGCTTTGTAAGATTATAGAGTAACTTAAAAAAATAGAGCATTAAATTTTGCATGATAAAACTGAAGATTCATTTTGCCTCAACTTGCTGGTAGGAAGGGGTTTAACATTTTTTTTTTTTTTTTGGGGCAATAGGAAGGGGTTTAACTTTAAAGCTAACTAGCTAAGCTACCTAAGTGAAAAATAGTGATAATACCACTAATGCTTAACATAATATTATATTCCCTCTAGTTAAAAATACAATGCATTTTTTAGGTATAATGATAAAAAATATAAGTCACTTTGAATTTTTCAAACTATGAAGATTTTTTTAAAAAAATACCCTTAATTGGGGTATAATTAATGATATTTTTTAATTGATACAATTTATTAAATAAGGATAAATATAAAAAAATGTTTAATATTAAAGAAAAATAATGAATTCATTGGAGTTATAGGTCAAAAGTGGCAAAATCACTAAATTGTTGAACTTGTTTTAATAAGTATTTGTGCATAAAAAATGTGTGTGTGTGTCATGAAACTATAAAATAAGTATATATATTATATAAATATTAATAAAAAATAAAATATTTGTATAAATATACATATACTCTCTTTGATCTTATTTGTAAGTCAAATATTTTCATTGGAACTAACAAAAATCTTAAACCTTATTAACTATGCCTAAAAATTCAACAAGTTTCTAACTTTACCTCTATCAAATATACATATTTTAAAAATAAAATAATCTAACATTTAACATACATACAAAGTGATAAAATCAAAGTTCAAATTCTCATTAAAAAAAGTGTTCACATTTAGTGTTAGACTATGCTTTGAATAAAATTATCTCTAATAAAAAGATATGTGTGAGCAATAAAAAATAATAATAACCTTCAAAATATCTAATAGAGACAAAAAGATAAAAATGAATTCAATAATTACTAAAGTGTCTAATAAATATGACCAAAATAAATAACATTTCTCATGCTTGGCTTACCTCCTCCCACCCTTTATTAAAAATCTAGATAGTCCAAATTAAATATTAATATTAATATTAATTTTATATTTATTAAAATAGAAAAATATAAATTTTTTTATTAAATCTAATCAGCAATATGGATAGTACATGTTTAATATGGAAGTCCAAATTTAATATTAAAATTTTTTATAATACTAATATTAAACATGCACTATCTATAATATATATATAGATAGCCAATTTATAAAAATAAAAAATATTATTAAATCCAATCACTAGGTCTAGACAAATATAGATAGTGCAAATTTAATATTAAAATTTTTTATAATTTTTATATTAAATTTGCTATGTTTGGATTATATATGGATAATTAAATTTTAAAAATTTAATATTAAATTTGGACCACTTATATTAAATTTAGACTATCCAAATATTTAATAAAATTTTTATAAATATAAAAAATATATTTAATAAATTTGAACAGTTTAAATTTAATAAGAAATGTGAGGAGGTTGAGAGGAGGGAAGCCAAGTTCCTCTTTATCTGTCCTATAAATATAACTAAAGAAATAGAAAAAAATTGTTATCATATTAAAATGTTTTTAAATAATTTAAAATTAGTAAATATTTATTTGAGAAATAGATCATATAAAATAGTATATGTTGATTGATATTTATATACATATGTGTGTAACTAAAAAAGATAGAGTATTAAATTTTGCAAAATAAATTTGAAGATTCATTTAGCTCAACTTGCATACAAGAAGGGGTTTATTCCCTATTAAAAATATAAAATATTTTTTTAGATAAAATGTTAAAAAAATAAGATACTTTAAAATTTTCAAACTTCTAAAAATATCTTTAATTGATATATAATTAATAAAAAATTTTAATTGAGACAATCTATTAACAAATTTATTGAAATCATGATTCGGTTAAAATATATTATAATATCAAACGGAGGAAGTGATAAGTGGCACGCAACGGCAAGAATGACTAAAAGGAGGCTTATTTGCACCCAACTTATCATGAAGAGTGCGCACAATAGTGCCTTAGAGCCTATTTAAAAACTTATTTTAAAAATAATTTTTTATTCTTGAAAACAAAAAATAAAAAAATTATTTGATAAAATATTTTTAAAAAATATTTTGAAGAATAAAAAAATAAAATATTATTTTAAAAAACAAAAAAATAGAAACATCTTTTATGGCTCCTTTGGTAAAGTGGAATTGGAATGGGAGAAGTGGAAGTGAAACTCTAAAAATTGAATGTTTGGCACACCGGAGTCCACTTCTCAAGGGAAGTCAGTTCCATAAAAAACGTTAGAACTCAATTCCTTACCCATACCTATGGAACTCAGTTCCTTCATCAATTCCTTCCTCATTTTCCATCCTTGTCCCCAAGTTTGTTGACGAAGTGGTAGCCTGGTCGGTGTGGTTTGTTTTGGGGGACTGGGGAAGCGGTACGTGTGGTCTTTGTTAATGTGGCGTCAGTTTATAGATAGGCTTTTATCAAGACTTCCAGGAAAGGAGAAAACGCGGTGGGAAAGTTGGCAGACATTTGATGACCCTGCCACAACACAAATAATTGGAGAAGACTGGATT